CCCGCCCCCCCCCCCCCCCCCCACACACACGCCTTCCTGCTTTCTACCAACCAAAACAGAGAAGGTTTGCATACACGTGGAATTCAATTCTTTACTTCCCACATAGTTAGGGTTTTCCCAAACTAAATCCATGCCACTGGGACTCCTGGAGTGGTGGCGAGGGGAGGGGGGAGGAATAAAACATTATAGGAGAATGCCTTATGTCCCTTTATTTTGTCATTTGGGGTCAAAGAGCTCAGACCTAAATCATTCTGATTTTGATGTTGCAAAAATTAACTCCCCAGCCTGCTAAGCCCACCTCTGCCCCAAATATGCTTTTTGAAAGATTATGTGTCAAAATCATCAAACAAATATCTCTGTTGTAAATGCTGGGATTGGGTGAATAATACCCAAATCCATAATTGCTGACACAGGAAACTGGTAGGCCCCTATCAGCACCTCTCTCCTGCGGAATCAGCAGTTTTGCAGTGTGCAGGAGGCTGGGGGTGGGGAAGAGGAGGGGCAGGGGTGTGGCTTTGAGGAAAAGGGTGGAGTAGGGACAATCCCTGGGGCACAGTAGGGGTTACTCCACTCATCCCTCCCCCCCGGCACAATGAAAAGTGAGTGCCCTGGAACAGCTGCTGATATCTACAGTATTTCTTCCTGACTTATATGTGTAGATAGATAAAGAGCAAAGTTGAACAAACACAAGACCTACAAGTTTGTCCACATTAGCAGACAAACCGAGGGATGCATAAGATCAGTGAAGTTCACCATATTTCACATGCAGGAACAAATCTTGGGCATTGGCTTGTCACAGGATCTGATTCTAACCTCACCCGGCTAGGCTGAGCCTTGTTTGTACTTGTGTCAATCCAGTGCAATTCTATTGGCACCCCAAAAGCTCCTTCCAATTCTCAGTATGCGAGTGAGAATCTGGCCCATTGTCTTCTAACCTACCCTGCAAATCCTAGAAATATTTGCAAAACCGGTGGAAAAGAATGGCCCAGAACCTCAGAGGAGACACAAAACTAGCCCGACTCAACTTTGCTCCTTACGATGGCATTTTTTGCAAGAAAAGGGGAAGGTACAAGTACCCAAATTTCATTCACATTCTGCCCTTCTAAAAGATTCTCTAGAGGGCCGTTTAGGTCAGTCTCTAAAAACATATTGGTTATGTCTATACTGGTGGCTTCTTGTGCAAGAACATCTTGCACAAGGGTTCTTGTGCAAGAAGTCTTGTGCAAGAAAACCTCCACACTGCCATGTGCAAGCTGTGCTTTTGCGCAAGAGTGCCCGTGGCAGTGTGGACGATCTCTTGCGCAAAAAAGCTCTGATGGCCATTTTAGCCATAGGGCTTTCTGGCTCAAGAAATCCCTGCCGAGTGTCCACACTGCCCTCTTGTGCAAGAGCTCCTCTGCAAAAGGGCTTACACCTGTTAAAAAAGAGTGTAGCTCTTGCACAAGAAGCCCTCTCTTACCACGCCATACTGTAAATTTCCTTGCGCAAGAGCGGGCAGGCAGTGTGAACGCTCTGCGGGTTCTTGCGCAAGAACGGCCATACTTGTTCAAGAAATTGCGAGTGTAGACATAGCCATTGTGTGATACCCCTCAGTTCAGAAAACTGCATCCCCAAGGAGACTGAGATGGTGAGCTTAGGGAGTCTTGTACCCACAGGGCCACAGGCTACACCTACGTGAGTCTTCTCACAGACAGCAGAGGCTAAGAAATACCATAGAGGGTCATCTGAGCCATTTGCCCTGGGCCACCTGTGGAACTGGTAGATGGTGCCACCATGTCTACCCCCTGATGATCCAAGATCTGTGCGAGCTCCAGAACATGCACAGGGAAAAAGACCGTAATCTTACAGATGAGTGCTCTTTCAGAGCTCTCTCAAGAGCTTGGTTGCATGTACTCCCTACCAGTGGCCTTGCAGCAAAGGAGGAATTGTAGCTCCTTCAAGGAGTCCCTGCTGATCTTGCAGTCAAATTCCCAATTAGAAATCCAGCCATGTCAGAGAGGAGCATGACCTGGAGAGCAGCTGCCTCTAGGTCCACCCACACCTAACCAGTCTCTCCCGCTCCACAAACCATGGAACTTTGACCATATGGAAGGGTTTTTACCATGTCTAGGGCCCGGGGAAAAGAATGCACCAGAGTCTCAGCAGGTATGCATTCTTTTTAGCCACACCTGGCTGCTCTCTGCCTCATGCTGCAAAGTAGCAGGTAGCTCAACTTTTTCAAGGCACTGGGGGATGAAAGGTACTATATAAATAATATAAATGATAAGTATTCTTATTATACATACTAATAATAGAATCACAGAATCCTAGGGCTGGAAGAGACCTCAGGAGGTCATCAAATCCAGCCCCCCTGCCCAAAGAAGGACCAATCCCAACTAAATCATCCCAGCCAGGGCTTTGTCAAGCCGAGATTTAAAAACCTCTAGGGACGGAGATTCCACCACCTCCCTAGGTAACCCATTCCAGTGCTTCACCACCCTCCTAGTGAAATAGTTTTTCCTAATATCCAACCTACAACTCCCCCACTGTAACTTGAGACCATTGCTCCTTGTTCTGCCAACCGTCACTACTGGGACCAGCCTCTCTCCATCCTCTTTGGAACCTCCCTTCAGAAAGTTGAAGGCTGCTATCAAATCCCCCCTCACTCTTCTCTTCTGCAGACTAAATAAGCCCAAATCCCTCAGCCTCTCCTCATAGGTCATGTGTTCCAGCCTCCTAATTATTTTGATTGCCCTCTGCTGGACCCTCTCCAATGCATCTACATCCTTTCTGTAGGCCCTGTGACTTTGACCTAGCAAGCTCGTCTAGGTCAAATCAAATCATGGCATGTTGTCCCCTGGTCCTGCTTCATAAAGTTACTGTGTGTCACAACACTTAGCATAACTCTTTCAGCGCTATCGGGTCCCCTCGTGTGTAAATATGAATCTGTTAGATAGGGCTCCATGGAGCCCCTCTGTGCTGGTTTCCTATGAGGTTACGTGAA